GACAAGGCACAGAGCAATGCCACTTCCTTGGCCACCCTGCTCAGAACTCCGAGCTGCCGCACAGGGAGAGCTCAGGCCCTACCTTTCTTGATGATGACCAGGTTGAGCACGCTGAGGTTGGCGTCGACGATGCAGCCGCGCACGGACTTGCGCTTGCGCTCGCCGGTCCGCCGGGGGCGGTAGCAGGAGTGGCCCTTGCTGAGCAGCAGGCGCACGCGGCCGGTGGTCAGCACGCCCTGCTTCATGGGGAAGCCCTGCTTGTCGTTGCCCCCGCTGATGCGCACCACGTAGCCCTGCAACCACAAGGACGCTGCCAGTCTGTTGTACCCACTGCCACCTGAGCAGCACGCACGCGGACGAGTGGTGGTGGAAGGGAGTCCCCATTACCTGTAAAGCGCTTTGAGTGGAGTGTCCAGAAAAAGCGCTTTATAAGTTTAAGCAATTATTATTCTTACTATGAGGCACTTCGGCTCCAGGGACTCCTGCTTCCAGCTGCTGACCTGATCAGGCACTTTACAACGCTTCAGACCTTTTAAGATGTTGATGCCACAACTCTCTAACTGTTCATACATCAGGCTAGATCAACACTAAGTGATACTTAATAACATGCAAGAGTACATCGTTAACAGCCACTATAATTGCACAGCAGAGAAAACCTTCAGCTGAGCACATATCTGATACTATTAAAAAGCAAGAGGGACAAGCACCTGTTACCAAAACAACTGTTTTCCACTTGCCTGCAAATCATTACTTGGTGATGCTTCACCATATAGGCCCCCGCTGTATTACACCTGAACTCTGAACATAACAAAACTGCTGCCAAGTTTCCAAAATATTCTTCTCACACTTCATCGTACAGGGATGGCAGGATTTAAATATGCCCTATAAACCTTTTAATGGATTATAGCGCTCACAAACATGGGCCTAAAGGGTTCCTAGATCGCAAAAATGTCTAAATCAAGACTCTTTTCACTTGCTTAGTGCCACCTGATCACTGGGCGGAGAAAGGTCTGCCACCACAATCTCACCTTCCACTCATCGCCCAGGGGATCAGCAGCCACCTCAGTAGCCATGCGCTTCTCGTAGAAGGTACGCAGTTTGCGCTCATCGTCGACTTCAATCAGCTTCTGGCAGCCAGTGGCCGGGAAAGAGATGTTCAGCTGGGAAGAATGACCAAAAAAAAAACACATTCAGGAGGGAGATCACTTCACAGGAGGGTTGCAAGTAGGCGCAGCTGTAACGAACGCTTCCCACCAGAGCTCAGTCACCTGGAGCTCGATGTAGTCTTCTTGCCTGAACAGATGGGAGTAAAGTGATTCTGCCCGCATGCCAATAAGTACATCAACATCAAAACACTTTGTCATTCTGCACCACGGCTTGTAAATGGCGACTTCACCTACATTTCTGACACCCGGTGAGGAAACCGGGCCACAGCATGAGTTTGAACATAGCGTCACGTCTACCGATGCAACAGAGAGCGTTTCGCAAGAAAACTTGCTTTTTTATACAGTTATTGTCATCAAATCGACCAACGACTCTGTCTTAAAAACCCCATGCTGTAATTAATCCTGGGTGGTAAAAACTCGAGCCCTACGATCACACAGTGGTACTGCATGCCACATTTAATCACAGCTCAAGAGACTGTGTTCTTGCAAAATAAAAACAGACCCATTCAGGCTCAGCTCACGATCCAAGCGGTTTTTGTGACTAGTTCGACTTTACCTCATATTTAACTGAATGTTCCCACAGTCGTGGCAGACGGCCTGTTGCAATTCCAGTATTTCATCAATGCTGCTAATGAACTGAAAGTGCACACAGGCTGACGCTGGTTTAAAATAGTATTAATGGACTACGAAAATTCAAGAAACTTCACATCTTCCACAACGGCCCATAACTTAGCCTCCGCTGCCCCATGCCAGAGAAAAACTCGAAGGGTACACATTTTCCCTATCAGGAGGCAGCCATCTTTAACACTAGGTCTGTAAACCGCTGGTGGAGCAGATCAAAATCCACAAACATCTCTTACTTCTAAACTCCAATCCTCAACTTCACCACTGAATTCGTGTTAGGGAAAGTGTACAAATACTATTTTGGGAGGTATGTTGAAATAAATATCAGTCAAAACACGATAAAATAAAAAATAAACGCTCCTCACCTTCATTATGGGGGACTGACGCTGATCTTGTCCGCCACCGAAAAGAGACCGGACTTCCGCCACACACACTCACATAGCCACGCGGCCCTATCGCGAGATTATAGAAATGCCTCATGGTGAGATTTGGAGTTGTTGTTACATTAACTGTATAAAATCCATGTAATTCCTAAACTCAGATTATTTGTGTGATCGACTGTTATTATTATCGTTTCAAGCGATCCAACACGACCAGGGGCTTTAATCACATATTAAATAAAAAAACAGGGTTGTGTTGAAACACTGGCTTTCTGATTTAGCTTGACGTCCTCGTACTGAGGTGCAGTCATCCAAGATGTAAACATTCTGACTCTAGAAATAGCTATAAAAGCAGCATTAATAATCGGTCGATTGTCGGTGAGACATTACCATTGAACAAAGTTATTAACGAGAAAGAGATGGATTTAACCTCCCATTTCATTACCTGTATCGGTTTTTAATTTTGTGAGTGTTGTCCCCGAAATTCGTTTCTAACGTGCTTGTGCTTTTGTACAGACTCCCAAAGCAGATTTCTGTTCACGGAACATATTTTAGCACTCTTGTGCTATCCCTAGTGCCTGATTCTACGGGGATTTAAACTTAAAGGGATTTTAACAGTGGCAGTGGGTCTCCACACTGTTCTTTTCAGGTTTTCTTCCCCCAATCCATTTCAGAATCTCCTGACCATGGTGTTCAGCAAATTGGAATGGAAGACTCCTCTGGCAATAATCTATGTACCATCTGGTTTAGTGAATCTCACCTTGCACAAATTCATGCAGCCTGTTCTTAGCAGAATATCTGAGATGATCACTAAAATGAAACTCGATTTTTTGCAGTTTTCTGGCTTTTTTACAAGTGGCATGTTTGTGCAGTGGTTATCGTTGCTACCTTGCCGCACTGGGGCCTTGGGTGCAATTCCTGGGGTTCTCTCTGTGTGGAGTTTGTATGTTCTCCCTGTGGGTTTCCTCTGGGTGCTCCAGTTTCCTCCCACAGTGCAAAGACGTGCTCGTAGGTTAGTCGGCTTCTGGAAAAATTGGCTCTGAAATTGAGCGTGCGTGTCTGTGTGCCATGTAACAGACTGGCATCCCGTTCAGGGCCTATCCCATCAAGCAATGGGCCTGCGTACTGGATTAAGTGGTTAGAAATGGTGGATGGGTGGAGGCCCATTATCACGCACATTCTCAATGAATCATTAAGATATCAGTAACCTGCAGTTATTATGGCTGTGCTTAGCCTCCAGACAGCAAGATCTGTAGTTGCTGTCAGTCCAGTTCTTTTTATTGTCTATATATTACCACTGAGTCGAATTCTTTGTATGAACCTACATTTAATTTCTAAACCGATTTTACACATTTATGTTGAAACAAAGCCTGACATTAATTATG